CCCTGGAGAGAGGGCATGGCCTTTTCTTTCATCGTGGGTGGAAATGTCAGCCTGAGGCAGTGGGCTGGGTCAGCTGGTCTCCTTGGGATTTATGACCAGCTCCAGCCAGCGCCCTGGGTCTGGCTGCATGGACTGTGTAGCATTATGAGCTGCAGAGAATTGAGTATTTCATTATACTGTTTTCACTGAACAATATCTTTTACGGGTCTTTTGTGGGTGTATGTCTCTGTGTGTGTGTGCGCGCACACACACCACACACATACACACACACACCTGGTTCTTTTTAACTGCTGCATAGTATTCCATAGTTTTTTTCAGCTGTGCCATGGCCATTTTGCTTTTATCCACTTCTCCCTTTTATCTCTACTTCCCATGATTTTATCTAATAGGCATTTTTTTTTTTTTTTACCCTACAATTCCCACCTCCCCTTTTCCCTCCCACTCTCCCTCCTTCCTTTTCTCTTTCCCTTGCTTCCATCCATCTGTGGATTCGTTCATCAAACATGCTGGGCCTGCAGGTGCTGGGTGTAGGGGCAGAATCCTGAGGCCTGGCCCCAGGAGCTCCAATGCAATAGGAAGCCAGAGAAGAAGCACATCATGGTGAATGCCCAGAAGCAAGGTTTTCAACAGTGTTTTTAAAAGAAGCTCTTTCTGGCCTTTTGGAGTGTGAGAATCTGAGGTAGAAGCTGATCTTTCAAAGGAGTAGTCAGCCTTTGGATCAATATGACCCCATCTGCATCTTTGAGACCTTCTAGGACCATCACCAGCTGCCCGCCCTCCCCCTGTTCCCATTGCTCCAGGCTGTGGCTTGAGCAGAATCACACCAGGGTTGGCTCTGGAATGATGGCCGTGGAAAGGAGAAGGTGCTCTCACGGCCTGGATGGGAGGGCCCTTTCCTTTGGGACAGGAGGGAGCAGAACCTGGAACAAAGTTGCGAATCAGAAGTCAGTCTAAAATGGACACAGGGCCTCAGGCCTTCTTCCTTGAGGAAATTATGTAAAGATGAGTATAAAAAGAGACAGAAGGCAGTGTGTCCATCAGAGACAGAGAGGGAGAAGAGCCTACAATGAATATTCCTATTCTTCCAAATGGGTGCAGTACGTACAATCGGTATTCCTATTCTTCCAAGTGGAGGTGGTACGTACAATC